CTGCTGAAGCGTCGACCATTTCTGGCCGGCAACTTTCAGCGGCATTAAGCCACTGGATAAAAAAGAGTATATGAGAAAGAAAGAAGATGAGATTGTGAGATGCTGATGAGTGTGAATGGGAAAGTATAAATCTACAAGAATGGCAGGATGTGTGTAGATCAAAATATTCTCTACCTGGATACCATTACACTGTTCCCAAACCCAGTCAACTCACAAGGTCAATTTGGTTTTCCACTGGGGCCAGGATATGATCATCCCTTCCTTCTGCCCCAGCTTCAATCCAACCAAAGGAGGAATGGTATAAATTAGACATTAGAAGGGCTATCGTGATCTACCTGGGAATTCTGACAGTCTCCTAGTAGCTTTTTGGTAATCCCACCTTGGCCACAAAACCTCACTGACCATGATCTCTAGATGCATTGAAGCTTATTTCAAACTAGCCTAGGAGACTCAGAATAAGCCTGCTCCACAGCCACTTCACTAGAAGTACAACCATTCTGGATGTCTCCAGCAGAGATATCTGTAGTGCTGCCACTTGGTCCCTTTAGAGTTAGGAAGACCCAGAGGACCCAGGGAACACCATCAGAATCTTGCAATTATACTTCAAGAATGAGTGGAAGGAAAATAGTGCTCTGAGCAGCCTGGTGAAGAGGGTGGCATACAGATGGTGTAAAATACATACACATATAAGTCCACTGTACATTTTCAGTTACATTTATCCTGACAGTTGAGTGACTTAAAATATAATCCTATGAACTGCTAACTTTAAGGGAACCAAAATAAATGCATGTATGTTACAAGTATTTGCAAATAAAAGCCTTTGCAGTTTTAAATACCACAGTTTGGAACTGTCTACTTTCAGGGCACATTTTCAATATCCATTGCAGAATGTTTTAAGATGCACACAGTGGTCTAGATATCGCTGAGGTAGTAAACCCATGTATGGACACTACCATTCAGATATGTGAGAGAGGGTTTGTATCACAGAATGCTCCTTCATACCACATTTGTAAAAGTCCCACAGAAAAATAGATGCCAGTGAGACTGGTTCTTGACTAACATTTCTCCAAATGTCGGGTTTTTCCATGCACAAGGCATTGTCTTGTAAGGAAGAGCATTCATCCATGTGTGCCTCCAGCTCAGTGTGAAATACATTTGAGTTCCCATAGGATATCAGCCAAGTACGTTATCAGTCTTACTCTATTGCAGTTGAACTGGGGTGGGGGAAGCTAGGCAGTGATAAACAAAGTAGCTTCAATGAGGCTCATTCATCGGTACAGATCTTCCTTTGCAGAATCCCAGAGTTTCCTGGTTCATGGTTTAAACGAGGAAAGGGAAGTACTGTATGTTAGCAACTATTAGTCATCTTTAAATGTTTTATTATACATATGTTGTGCATAAATCACAGATCTTAACAGGCAATGTCAAGTTGATGTAAGTTGATGCAAGATACATCTCTGGTTCTCATTTACTGCAGTATTTAGCAGCTTGTTGACTTCCACTGTGTTTCTTCCCAACTCCTCCTTGAAATGGAAAGACTATTATCTTGCTTGTAGAGGCATGGAAATATATGGCAGCAAATATTGGTAGTATTTTGCCTTCCTGCAGCCCTGTTATTTGAACAGCCATCTAGTTCATCTTGTTACTTCACACTCTGGTGTTCCATGAACAGCACCAACTGAGACATCTTCCTAAGAAATGGCAATATAGGAAAGGGCAAAGTACACATTACCAGAAATTATTTTCTAAAGGGAACACAAGCAAGGCAGCTTTGATTTTGAGCAAGAAAATGGGAAGAGATAGTTAATATATTTCCTAGCACCTTCTCTCTCTTTTTTTTCCCCTGCCCAGAATTAAATCCTCTCTAAAGTGCCAATTCCTCCCCAAGATTCAGTTTGACAAGGTAGCTAGACCTTTGATATTCCTGAAAAAAAGCAAGTTATGATCTACTGATAATGTACAGGAAAATGGAAAGCAGGGAGATAGTTTAGCACCGCAACTACTCAATATGCTCCATTGATCAAAGTTGCAACTTCCTGGGTGCTTTTTATTAATGTTTTTAAAAAACCTTTCAGGGCTTCATTATACATATTTCTGTTATGTGGATTTCTCCTTAATCAGGACAGCAAAATTAGTTCTTATTTCTTAAAACACACAAGACATCATATTTTTAATCTTTCCTTTTTCAGAGTTAAATGTTAAGGAACTGGATGTGAAAGTATGTGATGAATCATCATGTAAATATGGGGGTGTTTGCAAGGAAGAAGGAGAGAGTTGGAAATGTATATGCCAATTACAGGTAAGGATTTTTCATATTTATGATTGGACATGAGCTGAACTGTTGAGATAATATATAAATATGTCACTCTGAGAATTTGATTCATGGAAACACATAATTTGGTATAGTATATTCTTTAGAACTGAATTACAGTCCATATGTTTTTTTGACAAAGGGACAAGGAAGGAGACTTTCAAGCATGATCAAAGTTTTTGGAGTTGTTTTGCTTGCAACTGAATTTGCCAGAGTTTTTTTTTCCTTTTCTTCATTATTATGATTATTAACTTTGAAGTTATCTTACTTTTAATGTGGAATGTATAAATACTTTTATTGTATTGATTAATTCTGTGCAATAAACATTAAAAATAGTATATTCTTTAGAAACAATATAAACATAAAGTGAAGAAAGACATAATATTCTTTCTTACTGTGATGATAGTAATTGCTATCTCTTGTGGGAACATTGCTGCACAATTTTATAGATATACATGCCTTTGTAATTCGAATCCCGGATCAGCTTTAAGTATTGTGTTTCATTTTGATTTGTGGATTGATTCTTTACCTTTTCTTTTTCTTTAGACTAGTACATATACATTGATTGATTTACATATCTATCCCTTACCTTGCAGATTGCTCTAGAACCTAACTCTTTAAATGTGTCAAATATGCCAAGGACACAAGGTGTATTAACAATGATATCAGAGACAATCATATGATAGTATCTTTGCAAAATTACTTTTTTTTTTCAAAATTCAGTGAAAATTTGCTGAAGTGTAATTTTCAGAAACCTTTTTTCCTCACTGAAGTTCTCTTTAAATGCTGTATTATATCATATTATCAGAAATTATATCACAGAGGCAAAAAGCACAAATTCATAATAGTAGCGTATTTGAGAAGATACATACTTTCTTCTCACAGGTGAGGAACACCTCTGACCTAATTTAATGTCTGATGAATAAACTATTTAGGAATGCTTTCTGTGTCTGCCTGTGAGTATATGTTTGTGTTTTATTTTAAACAGTTTTTTAAAGTATTCTAACAAATTCCACGGATTGTTTGTATTCCAATCAGTACTTTCTGACCACCCCTGCAACTTGTGTGTAATTTCCAGATACTGTATTTGATAAGAATACCACTTTTTCCCCAAGTAATTCTGTGAATTGGGAGGAACCTTTTACATTCCCATATTAGAACAGAAGCTGCTGAAAACTAAGGAATAGGCTGAAGACCTACTGCTGAAAAGCGAGATGTCTTTTAAAATTAGCTGTTGCTTGAGAGAAGCTGCTTGCCTGGTGAATTTAACTCTTTTGTAATGCTTACGCAGAGGTTTTTTTTGCTCTGTGTTGTTAAGTTACCTCTTTCCTTGGCCCCAATTTAGTTTTCTTCCCTACACATTCCTTCCCTGCGCAAGCACCCCTCCCTTTTTTAAAAAGAACTCATTCAATTTTATTATTTTTGCTGTTTCTGCTGGAAGGAGGGAGGGGAATGAAAGTGTGTTTGTAAACTTTGTGTGGAATGATTTGAGTGAGTGAGAAAGAATGCTTGGTATATGTCAATCAATTAATTTTGTAAATGTGGTATCTTATTTTACAGGCTATTAATCTTTATTAGTAATTAATTCTAATTATCTCTCTCCTTCACCCCTCCCTGCCCCTGGGCCTGCTTCTTTTTTTGGAGTGTCTTAAATTCAGTGTTGTCTTTTCAGGTAAACATTATAAGTCTTGTGAACTTCTGTTGCAGAATTACTGTAGGTTGTATATATGCAGAGGTTTGCATAAATCTCTTCCTTCCTTCCTTCCTTCCTTCCCCCATGTCTCTCTCTCTCCAGTGTCACACGAATTATATTCCTGTTTGTGGTTCAAATGGAGACACCTATCAAAATGAATGCTTTCTCAGAAGAGCTGCTTGCAAGCATCAAAAAGATATAACAGTGGTTGCCAGAGGTTCATGTTACTCAGGTGAGTGGCAGCTAGCAGAACCATTTTTTAAAATTTCTTTGATTGATTTTTCCAGTGAAGGTTCCAGGGCCCATTTGTTTAGGGCAGCCTTCTGCAACCTTAAATAACTCCAGATGGCTATTGCTGAGAATTCAAGGAGTTGAAATGTATATATCTGAAGACATTCAGATTGAGAAAGCTGCTTTAGGACATGTCTTGGAAAACTCATAGATTTAGATTTAGATTTAGATTTAGATTTAGATTTAGATGATGATGATGATGATGATGATGATGATGATGATGATGATGATGATGATGGTGATGATTTATTGAACTTATTATGGCCGCCCACTTCAGAAGAATATCCAAAAAAATAATTAATCCTTCCAGAACCTCAGGAGAATAGATGCCATATGTATCTCTGAGGGGATGCTGTTCCAAAAGGCAGTGACAGAGAAGGCATGCTTCCTTAGTTCTAAAAGATGACAACATTTAACTGAGGGGGCCTGGAACACACTCACTCTGCTTGAATGTACCAGGTGGACAGAAAAGACTGTAGGTAGGCAGTCCCTCAGATAGCCAGGCCCTATGCCATGTAGGGCTTTACAGGTAACAACCAGCACCTTGAATTGCACAAGGAAGCCAACTGGCAACCAATGTAGCTAATGAAGCAGTAGTGACACATGGGCATAATGAGAACTGCCCATTACTGCTTGTTCTACTAATGTATTGGGCAGTAGGAATAACCTTGAGAAACAGGAGGAAGAGCCACAACCAAGGCAATGGTCAGTTAAATAAAATCTGGGTCCAGGGCAGAAATGTAATTTGAGAAAACGTCTCAGACATAACCCTCCCTAGTTCTCATGAGGATAAAGGGAGGAAGGGGGAAAGCACATTCAGACTTGCAATATTATCTTACTATAACCTTATAATAAAAGTAGTATTAGTATTCATAACTCTGGCTTCCTAGTCTGATTTACCTTGAAGGCCTGATAGCTGCGTTCTGAACCAGCTGTAGCTCCCAGATGGTGTTCAAGGGAAGCCACATGTACAGCATTTTGCAATAGTCCAGTTGTGAGGTGAATGGGGCATGAGTGATCGTCTGAAGGGCCTCCTGGCTATCTTGGCCACAACTGCCACATGGTCATTGAGCAGTAGTGATGAGTCTATGAGGATCCCAAGCTTGCTCAACAGTCTGGAATGGGGAAATGCAACCCCATCAAGATCAACAGTTCCCAACCTGGGGGGCCATAACAGCCACAGCCATTCAGTCTTGTCAGGATTGAGCCAAAATCTATTCCTCCACATCCAGCCCCAAGCAGCCTCCAGGCACTGGGTTGGTACATTGACAGCTTTATCTGCATATCTGCAATAGAGATGTAAAGCTATCATCCATGTCATCATTACCCCAAATCGACAGATGACCTCATCCAATGGTTTCATGTAGATGTTAAACAGGAGGAAGGAAAGTGTTGAACTGTGAGGCACCCCACAATGAGGAGCCATGGGCACAATCTCTCCCCTCCCTCAACACTTACTGGGAATAACCACTGAGGAAGGAGGTGAACCACAGTGCCTCCCACTCCCAACTCCTGCAGCCGGTTCAGAAGGATACTGTGGTCAATGGTATTGAAGCCGCTGAGAGATCAATGGTGTACCACCATCATCCTGGCTCTGTCAAAGGTCATCAACAAGCATGCCCAACACTGTCTCCATACTATGCCCCAGGCTGAAACCCTACTGAAACAGGTCCAAATAATACATTTCCTCCAAGTTACTCTGTAGCTACCATCCAACTACTTCCTCCACAACTTTCCCCACCAAGATTCTGTTAATGTAACCTTAAATAAAGTTGAATTAGTCCATCCAATCATGCTTCCTGTCTGGACTACCTTGCTAGGCTGATATCAAGTCTGAAAGTACATTTCTCCCCCTTTGCCTTAATAGCCCAAGAAACTAGGGAGGGTCCCTTCTGAGAAGTTTGTCATGCCCAAATTCCTTTTGCGGGCTCATATGTCTTTTGTCCAACTGTTTCCTTGGCTGTGGCTCTTCTCCCTGTCTCCCAAGGTCATTCCCACATACCATTACAACAGTTGTCCAGAACGGAGGGGTCCAATGAGAGCTTCTTGAGAAGGGGTCATACCACTGCCTCCTTCAAGGCCAGAGGAACCACCCCTCCCTTAAAGAGGATGACACCACTGCATGGAGTCATCCCTTGATCACCTCCTGGGCCACCTTGATAAATCAGGAGGGGCCAGGATCTAATAAACTAGTTGGCCAAACTGACAGATTGGAGGACCCAGTCTACTTCTTTGGGAATTACAGAATTGGACTTAGTACAGGTATTTTGGTTTATTCTTGATTTCTCTAACTACAATAGGCTTTATCATTTTATGTAGGCATTAAATCCAACCAATGGGATCTAAAGCTAGGGTCAATAACCATAGGTATCATTCCTAATCCCAGTAACACTAATGTGAGAAAACATACATTGTGACATTACAAGATCAGTTCTGCCCTTTTGTACTAGCATCACATGCAAGGATATAAGGAGCAGAGTTTGTGTCATGATGTTGTAATGCACATTTCATTAGCTGCCTGCCTTGTGCCTCTCTCCTTTGGATGCCTATGTCAGTACCTGAAAGTTTTGGATTTGGCTATACTATTCCAGTGGTTGAAGCAATGAAACCTTCTTCAGCATGGTTGAAATGAGTTTGGAAGAAGATATGTGCTGGGTTTTTCTTCTTAGTTTTTGAGGGCTCATCAGCTAAAATTTTAGAGTCTTAAAGATTTTGCAATTTGGATATCCAAAATATGTGCTCTTTAACAGATAAAACTTTTTGCTCTGAAATGTTTTGGAGTTTCAAAGAGCAGCAGGGATTTGACTGCTATAAAAAGAAAAGTGGCAAAGCTCCCGTTATTAAATTATGGCTATTTAACATTTGATACATTGCAGAAATTGCTAAACAAATACAATTTAAGTTATGGGATAAGAAGAAGCTGAACAAAACATTTAAGTTTTATGCAGAAGAGGTGCTTGGAATATTAATAGACATGCATTAAATTTAATATAAAGTACAGCTCATTTAATTCTTATTTTTTGGCCTTGTTAACTGTCTCAATATTTTATTTATTATAATGCTGCTTTTTATATGTGTGCTCTCTGTAATAGTTAGATGTGGAATTTATGACTTTTGGGTGGGGATGCATAAATGTTCAGGGTTTTAGATATTTATTGTATGTGAAGTAGTGGATTTTTGATGATATGGTAAGCAATACTTACAGTACTATACTGTATAGTAATGCAAAATATGTATATTAAAAATATCTTACTTTGTTATGAAGTTATTTATGGAGAAAAAAACATAACAGAGAGGTTAAGTGAAGTGTGTTCCACTTATTGACCTGACTGAAAATTAATCTAGAGGAATTTTGTATGTATAGAATATCAGTCAAATTAATTTTCAATTATTTTGATTGTGTTATTGTATTTAAGTTTAGTTGTTCAATGATTATTGCACCAATGATGTCACTTCATTAAAATACCTATTATTTGGGGAAATATTTAGTAGTGTTAAATGATTACAGGCTTCAAATGATTACAGGCTTTAGTGTTAGATATATTCAGTACTTAATTTATGCATGGATGCAAGAAGATTGTAGGGTATTCTTTTTGCTATATGATTATAACCTTGTTGGCTTGAAGAGAAAAGTGCTGATTTAAAATTTTAAACTTAGCTTTAGTTGTATTATTTGTTGAACTATGGCCATAATTAGTCTTTGATTACAAAATAAAATATTTTCCCTATCTCTTTTTAATACCACTTTCATCCTCTTGTGAATTAGATTACAGTTAATCTATTATTAATTTGAGCTCCTTTTGAGATTGAGAATAAATCAATATGCTTTCAAACATACCTATCATGATAAAAATGCATCTCAATAAAATACACATTATAAAGAGTCTGTTATATTAAAGAATATAATAAAAAATATTGTCGTCCCCCCGCCCCTTCCTCCAGTGGGTTAGGGCAGGATAAATAAGACTATTTAGTTTGGGGCAGGAAGAAGGCTGAAATCTGGTGAGTTATAATTGAAGCCTAGAGGGAATAGGAGTCCACCAGCCTTTCTACTCCCCAAACTAGTTTAAATACTGTTTTAATTCTTGGATCGGAAATACGCTAACTGGCTGGCATCCATATAATAATGGGATGAGCCAAGTAGGCATGCAGTCTCTGAGACCCTCCCATGGGTATCATTAATGCATGCTATTTGAATAAGTCTTGATTTTTCCTTTATTTTCTTTCTCTGGCAAAGTTGAGTGCTGTTTGTTAAGCTGCTTTGTTTGGTTCACTTGCAGTTTGGATGATAAAATAAAGTGGATTAAATTAATTTAATTGCCTAAAGAGAGAGTAAAATCATGCTCACAATTCATTGTAGCTCTTTATTGACTGTGTAGCAGTTCAGCCAGATTTTCTTCAGCCTGGTACCATCAAATGGGCTGCATTGGCTGGAGGATTGAAAGGATATTTTACAGATTATATTTCTTCAAAACATTAGGCAGTCTCCCTTGCTTCCTCCCTTGATATTGTAACTTGGGTTGGCACTCTTTGAGAAGCTGGAGACCATTATGCAATCTTGCATGAGGTCACAGGTATCAAAAGTTAAAACCCTTTGTAACAACTAAAAATTGACTGAAATCTTGTAAGATCACCAAATTGAAAACATGGGGATCTTCTGTAAACTTGTACAAAAACGCTGAAGTCTAAAGGGAGTTGTTCATCTTGTGAGATTTAGCTTTTTTTAATTAATGTGTTTTTAAAATTTTCAGTAGTCCATGGAAACATCCTAGGGGTATTGTGGATGTTATGGTGTCAGTGCATATTATCAGTTTCTGTTGTAACTGTTAGTGCATGTCTAAGTTGAATTCTTAACATGCTTCATATTGGTTAATTTATACCATGTGCATTTGAGAATTACAGTGTCTTCTACAGAAGAAACCAAAGCAAGCTCAAAAATTT